TAGTTTTGTATTAGGTTTGAAACCCTCTTATTTAAACAAAGAGGGAAGGTGCTATGGGAGCACATTCTGCTCCTTTAGCCAAAAGCCTTTAAGATACCAGCCCACTTGGGCATGGTCTCTTATACTGTAAAAACAGCTGTAAAAGTTGCCAGCTCTCTTGCTTCTGGCTGCTAGACTCTGTTCCTGTTCACACAGAAGACTATTATCAAGGACTATTAAGTTTTCCCTTAAATAAATAACCCTATATTATTCATAATTATGAACTGGTGTGGGATTATTTTGTGACTTCCACCATCATTATCTAAAGCCCAATAACTTGATTTTATAGACTCTACAAAGCACATTCATATTTCCCCAAACAGGAAATTGTATATTCACTCAGTATCCTATCTTTTCCAGTGATTTTATAGTTGCATATTTTACAATTAATTTACTGATCCGTGTTGAAATTGTATATAGAGTTCGGCATTGGAATTTGAATCATAGTTGTTTTCTTGTATTTTTCTGGGGGTGGTACTTAATGGATGTTTAATTCCTCTAGAATAATTATTAAAAAGAATGACCATCTTCTATTGATGAGCTTTTTTGTTCCTTTATCAAGCGTAAATTGGGCATGTGTTTACGTGAATCTATTTTTGGGTCTCTAATCCGTTCCACTGACCTGTGAGCCATCATTGTTTCAGAACTGTGGTCTTGATGACTGTCCTTACAACTCCAGGATTGTGATTCCTCTCAGTCTAGTTTCTTTACTCAAAACTGTTTAAGCTAGTCTAGTTGTTTTGTTTTTCTATATAGATTATAGAATAACATTGCTTATGTTTATATTTAAAGAGTCTCACTAGGTTTTGATATGGAAATGTGAAAGCTGGAAATCAATGTAGAAAGAATGGGCATTTTCACCATGCCACGTCTGCTCACCCAGGAGCACAGTCAGTCTCTTCAACTTCTGTGGTCATCTTTTATTTCTTTAGTTGGCATGTTAACATTTATGTAGTAAATGTAAAACATTTACTTTGGTAGGCTTTTATTTATTAATTGAATCTTCTTTAGAGTAATTTTAAATAGTTACATGCGTTTTAGTTTGCTTTTTACTTGTCCATTGCCAGTGTCTAACTTTTGGGTGTTGGTTATATGTTCTGCAACTCCATTGAATTCTTAATTTCTAGAGTTTTTGTTTACTTTTTTGCTTTTGTAGATTTCTATTTTCTGCATGGTTAATCAGTTCATCTGTAAATACAGATTATTTTCTTTCTTCCTATGTGGATTGTACACTTTTGGTTTTTATTTCTTGGCTTATTATCATGACTTGGACTTACAGTGTACTGCTAAGAATAATCATGGAATGTATCCTTACTTTCTTTCCAATCTTAAAGTGAAGGCAGTCTTTAACCATTAAGTATAATGTTAGCTGTAAGAGTGTTACAGATGTTCTTGATGGAGGTCAGGAAATATTCTTTATTACTGTTGTATTGGGGGTATTTTTTGAATCATGAATTGGTATTGGATTCCTTTAGATGACTTTAGTGGTTTCAGAAGGGTCCGTTGATGTACATAGTCATATAGTTTTCTTCTTTTTCCTTTTTGAAACTGCAACTTTTTGAGATTATAATCGTAAAATCATCCACTCCCTTTCATCCCTATGAACCCTCCTTTATACCCCTCCCTATGACACTTCAAATTCAAGGTCCATTTTTTTTCACTAGTAGTTATTGCATGCATATATCTGTAGGCATATACATATATATTTCTAAATATAACCTGTTCAGTCTGTATAATGCTACTTGTATGTATGTTTTCAGGGATGGCCGTTTGCATTGGACATCAAATCGGTGTGCTCTTCCCTAGGTTAGACCATGTCTCCTGGTTCCAGCTTTCTCCAGTTGCCAATAGTTCTTTGTGTATGCTTAAGTCTTTGTGGGCATTCCGCCATCCAGTTTGGGCAGTCATGTAGGTGAAAATTCATGTAGGTGTAGCTTCTGATGCCACGAGTAGACACTCTTCCAGCAAACTCCCTGCAGCTCTTGCCCTTACAATCGTTCTGCCATAGTTGTTTTGTGTGTGTGTTGGTTTGTTTTAATCTTATTATTATGAGTTACCAAAGTTTATTTTTAAAATTCTGAACAAGCTCCAAATACCTGAAGAATTCTGCTTGATTTTAAAGTTTTAGTTTTTCTGTGTGTTGTTTGCTGAAAAATTTTCAGTTAAGAAGTTTGCACCTAAGCTCATGAGAACTATTGGTTCGCAGTTTTTGTCCGTGTAATTCTTAGATGTATTATCATTGGCTGCTGGTGACAGGATACCAGTGGCCTCTTTAAAGTAATTCAGAAGCATTCTTCTTTCTGGAAGAGATTTTTGAAGTGGTGTTAGTTGTTTGGATAGTTGATACATTCTTCACTGATATGTGTGTGTGTGTTTGGTGTGTGTGTGTGTGTGTGTGTGTGTGTGTGTGTGTAGAAAATTCTTTCTTAGAAGCTTTGAAGATACAAATTCAAGTGTGTTAATCTTGTAGAATTGTTCCTGTGACCTGCTTCATCTTGTCTGATTGGAAGTTTGTGCAGTATTAGGAAATAAGGAAAGAAGGAAAGAGGAAGCGTTTGTGTGAAGGCAATATTGCTATGGTGGTATACAAACTCTCCAGAAGTGGCACTCCCTGATAAATCTCTTTATTACCTTTTCACTAACAAACTCCTCAAAGTCATAGACATCCCATGACAGACACAGTTCTGAGTGGGCAACTGATAGTAGCCTTCAATCAATGTGGATAATTTTGAAGTTTTGATTATATGTTTTAAGAATGATAATGCGTGTTTATCTAGACTTCTCACAATGCCGGCCATGCTTTGGATTTCACGAGGCACATATGAGCAGTCATATATGGACACTAGCCAGCGACAAAATACCCGAGCATCTACTTTACAATGGTTGCTAGGCAATAATTGCTATAATAATAATTGTAATAATTATATTTTATTATATAATAATTATTATAACAATTATTACCTAGCAATAATAATTTTTTTCTCCTAGCCACCTGCCTTCTCATCTCCCTCAAAAAACAATTGCCTGAGGACTCCAGGATGACAATAAACCAGATGCTGCTCCAACCACTCCTCTCATTGAGCATGAACCCAACTCCCAGCTCCCCCCTTTCCCATGTTGCCCCATGCCCACAGGAAGTAGCCAGACTTGAGCTGATGCCCCTATATCCAAGGACTCTGGGATGTTTGGTCAAAAGTGAGACCGCAGCCCTCTAACACCCCTATATTCAAGGAGTCTGAGATGATTGGAAGCATCACCCCAGTCCCTGGTATTCATCCTAAGCTCCCCCTTGGGTGTTGCCTTGGTCCAGACTCCACCTCTGGGAAGCCCACCAAGTGCTGACCCCTCCTCAGGGAGGGCCAGGACCACTCCCACAGGCTATTTAAGCTCACTCTGGAAAAAGGTACACGTGGTCTCAAAATTTGTGTGGACTCCCCCACCTCTGTCTTCCAACCCCACCCCATCCCCGCCATGCTCCCGTGTCACCCGAGAGTGCTGTAGTAAACATGGGCATCTTTGATTCAGTCTAATCTGGTCTAATTGAAATGTTTTGCATCGCCGGAGAGGCTCCTCTTAAGATTATTTCTAACAGTCAACTTTAACAGAACCTCCATACACAGGTTGCTCATACATGCTTCAACATTGCCAGGGCATAAATTTTGATTTCAATTTCTCTTCCGGGAAGTGGTAGGATCTTTGGGAAGTGTGTCTTTTATCACTAGTGCTTTATGCTCACAGGGGAATGTGGAAGCCCAGTTTCTTGTTTGGTTTTCTGTCTCCTAGCTCATCCTATAAACAGTTGGTTACCACATGTCCTCTCCACCATGTTGTAACCGTAGCCACTGCAGCCAGAAGAGCGAGGACTGAGCTAATGCCAGCACCAAGCCTTTGAACCTCCAAAACTATATTAATAAACCTTTTCTCTTTATAAAACTACTTGCCTCCACTATTCTGTTGTAATGAAGAAAGGCTGATTAATACAATGGGATAAACTGGAGCAACACAAAATGCCTTAAAAGCCGGTTCTAGCAAATTTAGATCTTTGACTTTGGGAATACTGAATGTATTTCTCAGAAATAGATGTATAAATGCAAACAAAACTAAGGTTGGTTATAGGTGGGGAAATCCCCATGCTAGTCTCTTCTTCCTGTCAGACATGCTGGAGCAATCAGCCCATTGTGGTGAGCAGTCTATGGGTGCCACAGCCTTGAAACCATAGCCACTGGCTTTTCCAGGCTTTCCAGCCTTTCTGGAACCACATCCTATAAACAATTTAGTCACTCAAAGTTTTGCTTCTTTTTAAGACAAGGGCCTCTCCCACTAGTTCAAGCTGGGCTTGGACTTGCTCTGTAGTTCTGGGTTAGCACTCTTGGCAGTGCCTCTGCCCTGCCCTCCAGAGTGGCACAGTTACAGACGTGTACCGCTAAGCCTTGCTACACTCTCTGTTTTGATAAGACAGTTGTTAAGGTTAGAGTTCACTGTTCACAAGGAACTCTTTTGACTTGGAATGATCACTTCAAGTTCTGTATTCACACTTAACACTTTCTGGCAAGTATTCTTGCATGAGTCCTATCCTTCAGAAGTATATTTGGTCGTCTACATTCATGAGGAAACAATTTTCTTAAGACTTTTGGAAGAACATGAGATTTGAGACTGTCAACCAAATCCTGCAGCCTTGGGGAAGAGCAGTCATTAGACCATCAAATAATCAAGCTGGTCGTACATCCTAGCTGGGAACCTCCAAAAGTTGCCCTGATTTTTATTACAACAATTTGCTCATTATTTATTACTGTTCTTGGCTGAAATACCTTTGAGAATAAAATTTGCTTTCATAGATCACCATAATAGGAATTTGTTTCTAAGGGTTTCTTTGTCTGATTGATTTTCAAAAGAGGGTTTCTCTGTATAGCCTTAGCTGTCCTGGAACTCACTCTGTAGACAAGGATGCCCTCTAACTCATAGAGATCCACCTGCCTCTGCTTCCTGAGTGCTGGGATTAAAGGTGTTTGCCACCATTGCAGGGCTGTTTCTAAGTTTTACAGCAAGATACTATTATTATAATCCCTAATACCTGATATTATACCATTGTGATACTCTTATTTCCCGACTCTAAAGTACATTTCTGATGCTATATTTAAGTTCATGAAACAATAAGAACACTTACATCAGAGATACGTGTATGAGACTCACCTTTTTTCTTTCTTGGATATATTTTTGTATTGCTTTGTAAAACAATGAGACCTCCATTTTTGAATTTTAGAAACAAGCTCACTACCTAATAAGCTTTCAGCAGTTTAGAGTGTACAAAATAAGTGGGTATGATCACATGCAAACCTGAATTCCCTTTATCTACCACAGTGCAGCAAGAGAGAAGAAGCATTTTGAGTAAAATGCTGTACAGTTTGTAGTTCTGTTTTCTGCATTTTTTTTGATATCCAGAATCAAACTTGGTTGGAAAACAGTAAGTAGGAGATTCCAGAAGTAAGCAATTCAAAAAAGTTAGTTTTTAGCTACAACTATTCCATCTTAGTTACAAGCTACCGATAATTATTACTTGTTATTATAATCTTTTCCTAGGCAGCTCTAACCATCAGCTCAGTACAGCCTAGAATCTCCTGTGAAGAGAGTCTCAGCTGAGGAACCTCCCTGTTCAGACTGACCTGTGGGGGATTCCCTTGAGGGTTAATTGAGGTAGGAGGACTTAATCCATTGTGGGCAGCAACATCTTTTGGAAAACATTCCCGGAAAATATATACAGCTAAGCCTGGCCTTGTGTATAAGCCTTCGAGTCGTATTCTCCATGACTTCTGCGGCACTTTGAGTGAGTGAGTTCATAATGTTTTGTGGAATAGGAAGCTTGCTTTTAGGTTCGTGCGTGTTCATACTCTGTTCAGACTCCAGTTCATACTGACCCCCTACAATGGTGGGCAGAGACCAAGAAGTACGAGCCGCCTGCATCTGATCTTTGTGAATGTCTTTCAAGATGGCTCTCCTGGTACACAGCCTGATGACTTCCGGTTTCATCCTGAAACGGATGCTCTGGATCAGAAAGATGCTTCAGATTTCCCAGCCAGAGAGAACACACCAAGCTGAGAGGTCACCCAGAGCTTAGTCATCCCTTAGGTCAATATTTCCCAAGCTTCTCCGAGGATAAGAATCCATGAGGCAGTAGCTGAAAATCTGAATTCCCCGTCTGTGTCTTTGCAGAGTCTGATTCAGTCACCTCAAGGTGTTGTCTGGGGATTTTCTGCTTGTTGGGCTGCCAAGTTACTATCATTAGGGAATTTTGGAGAATATTGAGTTAAAGTGGGCTTTCACAAGTTGTCCTCCATGAATCACCTTTTAAAAATCAAAGTATGTCATGCTCTGCCTAGCTACCCTGCTTGGGACCGGGCTGGAATCCCGCCAGCCTTGACAACTTGGAAATACTCAGTGGCAAAAACACGTTGGGGGCTGGAGAAGAAGTGAGAGAGTATCAGACTGATCTACACACGAGTGCCTTTTTCTATGTGGCAGCCCGTTATAGAAGGGCAGTGTTTGCCTCGGGGCAGAAGGGCCTAGAATGCGGCACATCTGTCCAGAGTCATGGGCTATCCACACAGACTTATTGAGCCAGGGCCTGTGGGTGGATTAGCTGTATTTCATTTATATTATTATTGCTGGCCATGATGCTGGTGGTTATATCCAGGATCGTATGCTTGGGAGGCAAAGAGCTCCATCCCTGGCCCCATGCCCGTTGGATTTTTTGCAAGCTCGCCTCACTTTCCTACAGAGAACATCTAGAGGCCCACCACCAGCTTATGTCTAAGCCTGGTAAACTGCTTACCCTTTCATTGCTGTGACTCTGTCCCCATCCATCAGCTTTGAGGACAGATATCAAAAGTCACAGGTGGTGTTGAGCACAAATAAGGAGACCCAGGATGCTAGTACCTTAATGATTCAACCGAAAAAAAGGGGGGGAAGGGGTTCAGAGCTCTTCAGCCCTCGGGTCCACCAAGTCTTTATATTTTTGTTCCTGATGTCTGTCTATAAAAAGTGCCGCACGCCTTCTCTGTATCGGTTACCACAGGAACCCTGCTACCCAGCTCCAGTTGAACCAAGGCTGTGTGTGTCCCCCTCCCTTTCCTCGTAGCCTGCATACTTTGGCGAATGTTACTCTTCGTTCTGGTTGTACTGCAACTCATTTCAAAGTTTATCTCCTCTCTCTGTAGATTTTCTTTTGAAAGTTTCTGAACCCAACCAGTAGCTTGTCCTCCACCCGCTACGCTGATTTGCAGTCATTGATTCTCTGTGGCCCTTCCTCCCCACCTCCCTGATCTCACCACCAGATTGGCCGCTCTCCACCCAGAGTGTTTAGCCTCTTCCAACCTCAGTGCACAGGCATGCCCTCAGGACACACTGTCTTCTTCCTACGGGGCAAACAAATACCCTCTGATACCCACCACTGACAAAGCTCCATACAGGCTACATACGTTGGCATTTGGGGAACAGATTTGTTTTCATTGTTTTTTCTTTACTTCTTTATTCAGTTCGCTCAGATGGGTGCTGATGGCCTTGTCTTTGTCTAAAACTCTTACAAGGTGGGGGGGTGGGGTCTCCGAGAGCCTGCAAGGAAAGAGACAGAGGAAAAAATAGCAAAATTGAGACACACTACAAAACTTACCAAACTTCACACCTGTCCATTGGTTTAAACACTGTTTTCTGTTTTTGTTTTTGTTTGTTTGTTTTTTCTTTCTCAGAAGGATCATTAGTGTTATAATTCTCTTTTGAACGTCTTCAAACAGGGAATAGTGAGACAGATTTGCAATTCCACCTGCTTCAATTGCAGAAAGGGATGGCTTCCCTGTTTTTCAGACTCCTCCCTTAGATGACTGGCTGGTGTCCTTGAAGGGACACTAGGCCACTAGGGCTGTGGCTCTGACAGACCTTGCCCTTCTCCCCCCCCCCCCCCCCCTCTGGCTTGCTGAAAACATTAGCTTACATTCCTGGAGCTAGCCACCTTGGATGATTCCCTTAATTGGCTACTTCCTCCTCCCAAGGCTGACTACCAAGGTCCAGCTATCAAGCTTTTGAAATCCAGCAGTCACCTCTTCCACTCACCTAATTAGCATGCCCAATTAAAATTAAACACCTCATCCTAACACTGTGTTTCCCCTTTATCTGTATAAACCAGCCTTTGCCCATGTGCCCTGTGTCTTCTCTCTATCCAGAAACAGTCTTTTAGTCCCATGGGGACAAACACTCCTTCCCCCTTTCCTTGTCCCTTCCCCTTCTCCCTCATCCTCTATCTCCTGTATCACCACATTCTAGTCCATTCTACACAGACCTCCCCTTTCCCCTTCTATTCCTTTTAAACATCATTGCACCTGGAAGGTCATTTGCTGCTTTTTTATTCCTTTTTTTTTTTCCAGAGTCAGAAAGCAACCACTTTAGCTTTTCTTTTCTGCTTAATAAGGGGTCTCTGTGAAAATGGATGTTTGGGTGTGGTATTGCCTAATCTGGGGTCTGGAAGGGAGCCCCCTCTGTTTGGGACTTCAGTCTCCAGTAGTAATAAGATGATTTTCATCCTCCCCATAGTTCAGATACTGAATTCATGTGTCTTGGAAGTAGGACATTTTACTCACTAAAGGGATTAGATTTTTATTCTTTTATAAGTGAAATCTGGATTCTTCAGTAATTTAAAATAGCTTCTCAAGGGGCAAACCTCATTTCATGGAAAATTTCTGGTGAAGGGACATAATCCACCAATGAACCTAGAATAAATCATGTATTCATTGGATAACATCAAAGAATTATCCATTATAATTGGAAAATAATTATTTCTGAAAGTAAAACGCTGCACAGCATTGAAGGTTACCAGCAAGATGTACAATCTTCTACAACACAACACAGAAATTGCATTTTATAGTCACCTCTTTCTCCCTAGAGTCATCCCCCAGAAACCTGATGGTTAGCCATGCTGACTTGCCACGCAACTCAACTCGACTTGAAAAATCATTATTGACTTGACTTAAAGTGTCAAACATCTTGTGACACAGGCGTCCTGAAAAGCTTTGTCACTTGACGCACTTTCAGCGACCTTCGATATGGAGATCAATGAGGGAAAACAAACGCCTAGTGTGACTTTCACTTGGAACCTGATCGCCTGGCCCTAGACAGCCAAGGTTCCACACATAGTCAAGCGATCAACTCCCCCAGTGGTGGTAACACATCACTGTGGGAACTAAGTCCCTGGGGGGGGGGGGGAGGAAGTTCAGGCTGCATCCTGCTGCAACAAGGCATCATCAGAGAAGGGTGATTAACGTACGCCACTTGTCAAATGCATTCGGTTTCTCAGAACTGTTTTCCTCACCTTTTCTGCCCTTTGTTGTATTTCTGTCTACTGAGAGAACTCAACAGGCAAATAAACCTTAGCCTTTAACTGAAGCATACAGAGGTGTCCCTTTCTAACTCAGAAGCCGTGGGAAACATTGAAACACTACATGACACTGTTTCCATTTCCTTTGGGTTCAGGAAAAGGAACATCAGGAAATAATGAACCCAGGAGGCCTGGAGAGGGAGCCTGGCTCCTGGTATCATGTCACACCTCGTGTTACATCTTGGAAAGAAAGTACATCAGAGCTCTGACATTTTGTTCTAAAAGTAGGGCTGGCATGATAAACGGTTTTGGAAAATGTTACCTACCTTGTTGGTTTAAGGAGGGAGACAGGGGATAGATGAGAAGGCTTGGCATGTTTTGCCAGCATAGTGGGTAGGCCTGTTGTTGTTTTCCATTTTGACTTTTAGGCCCTTTCAAATCTCAGGTGATGCAGAGAATGGTATTATTGTGTGTCCTGGCTTGTTGTTACGGCTCTGGCTCAGACAAAACCCAAAGTTTCTAATATGCTCACAAACAACTTGAGTCTACCAAACTGACCTGAAGAGGTTGCAATAAATGGTCTCCAGAGCCTGTAGAGATGACTTAGTAGTTAAGAGCACATGCTACTCTTGGGGAGGATCCAGGTTCAGTCTGTAGTGCCCATGTTGGGCAGCTTACAACTGCCTGTCACTCTGGCACCTCAACACTGTCTTCTGTCCTCCATGGATACTGTACACAAGTATATACATGCACAATCAAAAATAAAAGTAAAGTTTTTAAAATAAGGATCTCCTGAAAATTTTCAGTTACATTCTGCTCTATTCAAAAGGGTGTGTGTGTGTGTGTGTGTGTGTGTGTGTGTGTGTGTATGAATGCCTTTTCCTGAAATATCTAGGTTTCAACATCCATGTAAAATGCATGGATAAGTATGGCTGAGATGTGGCACAGAAAAACATACTTTTTATATTATTATTGTATCATTTTATATGTATGAGTGTTTTGTCTGCCTGCATATATGTCTGTATACCACATGTGTATCTGCTACCCAAAAGAACAGAAGAAAGTATCAGATCCCTGGAACTGGATTTATGGACAGACATGAGCCCCCATGTGGGTGCTGGTACTTGAACCTAGGTCCTTTGGAAGAGCAACCAGTGCTCTTAACTGCTAAGCCATCTCTGTAATCTTTGCTATAATAATCTCAAATAATTATTTTTATAGGCTCCATGTAGTTACTCTTTTCTTTTTTGCTAATTTGCTTAGCATATAATTTTAATAACATTTTCTAAATTTTCTTATATGTGTCTAAACAAATGTGTACGTGTAAATATAAATACATGTATGTACATCCGCATTCTGGTGCTGGTAGTACAGTTCAGTGTAGAGCAAATGCTTAGCATGTATTAGACACTGAACATGATCCCCAGCACCAAAGCAAACAACAAACAAACAAGTGAAAACCCTCAAACTAAAATAAACCCATTTTTAGAAGAAATAAGAAAACAGAACAAAAGAATTTTGGGTGTGTCTATAAATACAGATATTCAAATGTTATATACTCTTTTTATGTTTTCGGAAAAAAAACAGCTCTCTACACAGGACGATAAGCTTTACTTCTATAGGAAATAAGAAAACAGATTTTAAAGACATTTTTCGTATATGTCTAAAAATTGAGTATACTCTCTGGATTAATGGAGGAGAACATAGATTTGAAAAAAAGTACAACATTAAGTCTAATGTGACCTTTTCCCCCAGGGAACTACAATTTACTCTAAGAAAGAATTGCACATATTAATACTTAAAGTTTATAGGGAAACAATACTTACACAAGAAGTTTCAAAGGCAGGCTGCCCTGAGTTCTGAGCCTTTGCAAGTTTGCTACATTTATTTTGGGTTTCATGAATGCCTACAATTTGCTCATACTAAGTTTCATGTGGGTTTGAGCTTTACCCAAAGATCTACTGAGCTCTGCTCTCTGACAGGTTAGTGGCTGTCTCATGGAGGATGGATGTCTGCCACAGTTTGCCTCATTTTAACTAGGCAGAGAAGATAGTGGACAGAACAAACAGGAAGCCGATGCTGGGGCCTCGCGTCAGAGCAGGGTTGATTTATCAGTAATGTCGTCAAGAGTTCCCAGAGTAAATAATTCCAAATTTACCACTGGACTGAAACACGTGGATAGGGCTAATGTTATAAAAATTAAATTTCAAGCATTTGACATCTGGTACTTGCTGTACCTCTGTGAGGTAGGTGTGGACGAGCACTTTAGCACATAATCTCAGACTCTGTTCTTATTAGTCCCCGAAATCCCTGGTGTGAGATTTCCCCATCTCTCTGCGGGGACGCACAGGGGTGTATGTGTGGGTTCAGCAGGACTTGCACATCCTTGGAGAGGCTGAAGGATCTGCTCTGCCTCCCCGGGACTAGCATTACAAGAGTTGGTGCACCCAGGTTTTTAAATGTGGGTTCTCAGAACTGAACTGGGCACGTTCTGTTTCCAGGACAATGACTCTACTGATTAAGAGAATCCCCTCACACTTTGGTGAGCAATATTACCTAAGGATAGGAGGAACACAAAGTGCAAAACCAACGGTAAAGCTGAATCAAACCCAGCGAACTAAGGACAAAGAAACTTCACACAAAATACAGACAGACAAGCAAACTTAATTTTTTTTTTACTTTAAATTAAACTAATCTAGTGATCACATTTTTCTGAGCTGAGTTCTGAACAACCTCCTGTGCTTAATTGTGGTTAACAATTTATTCAACGTGCAAATTAAAGACTTCTAAAAATAAAATGTCCATTCTATTTCTTTCATTTTCTAAAAGATACAGGGCTCAAAATTATCATTCAAGTAATTATTTCAGTTTAGCTATGAATCCAAACTGAGAATGTCTGTCTGATTTATTAGAGGCAAGGTGGGCTGCAGGGAAGTTCAGGATGGTCACCCGACCATCAGTGGTTAATTGATCTAAGTGGCAAGTACCAGGACAGGTATCTATAAAATTCGGGAGAACTTGTAACAGAATACCGTAGCACGCCACAGCGAGCGCTGTGGTTAGAGTACTGGCTTAGGTCTCCAGGAGAACATGAGGTTAGGACATAGTGCTGTCCCAGAGAACTTGGAAAGCCTCCATAAACAAGGAGACTTTGAACTGGGTTTTGAAAGATGAGCAGACATATTTCCAGAGAAGGAAGAGCTATACCAGCTCCCCCCACCCCACCGCAGCCACTCCTCCCAAGACACAGAGTCCCAGTTTGACCAGACTTCCACTCACAGCTCGGTGGCAAATATCTCGTGTGGGTGGGAGTACTTGGTCGGAGACAGGACGTGTTGGGTAGATTCTCTGAAAGGATCTCAGAGTTTCCATGATCCCAGGAACTTCCAGGGCGGGAGGGATCTGTTCTTACTTGGAAGAGAAGAATTCTTAGGGTGAATGGGGTGTGGGACTGTTTCTACATGAAGATCTGCAGCTGCCTCGCATAGCCACAGTGGACAGCCGCAAGCAAACACTTTCTTCTATTCTTAGCAGGCTTTCTTGGCACATGCCTCCAGCTTTGGAAGGATGAGGACAACTTTTCTCCAGTCATAGATGTGTCTTCCTTTCCTTTTGTCAGCCTCCCTCAGAGACTGGAGAGCTTTTGTGCCTGTCCCATTTCTGGGGCAGAGAAGTGTGTTCTAAAACGAAGCAGTAGACATCTAGGCAAAGGCACCCCTTTTGCTGTCATCTGGCTACAGACAAGCAACATCAGAAAACTCAAGGGCCACATCTGGGTAGAGGGCTTGTACTAAAGCTCTTTACAGACTTCAGAAACCAAAGTGGCCTTGAGTGACTGGAAAGAACCAGGTCCCTAACTGATGCACAGCTATTGAATGAAAGAAAGACAAGAGGAAAACAATTACCTCCGTAATCTATATTCTCAGCCAAAACCATGAAAAGTGCAAGACAAAAGATGGCCTTAGACACATGGCACATAGGCTGATTTTCCTCAGTGAGGTCACTGATGCTTGAGGACAAGACCTTTTCTTCCTGCGGCCTCCACAGAGTTTAGTTCAGCAAATATTTGTTGATTTGAATAATTGGTTAATTCAACAAACATTTACCAGGCAGCTACCAAGTGAAATGAACTCACGTAGACCCTGGATCTTTCCGTACGTTTTTCTTAGAGGCTGCCAGCAAACTCTTTAAGATCTTTAGATTTTAAAATCTTCAAACTTTATGTATGAGTCAATTATTTCTGAAGGTTAATCATTTGAAGATTTTTATTTGGCATAAAGGGGGAATGAAGGAGAAAGATAAGAATAAGATATTGAAATGGTTATATGATTTTAAAAATCTAGATATTTGGATTACTTTCTGTTATTTGACCGCATTCCCCCATGTGGTAATTTATTACTCACGTCAGCTAATACTATGATGTAAATCAGTATAAAGGTTGTCAGCACATTGACATAAAGGACACACATATCTTTGTGAAGTCAAGACTCAGACACCACAATTAGCCCTCTAACAAGACACGAACCCTTGCCTGAAGAAGTCCAGCAAATTATGGGATGCCAGTACGTCAGCATCAGCAACAACACAATGACTTACCAACAAGTCAGTGGAAAGATAAGACATGAGAATTTGGGTTAAACAGCGTGACTCAGAATTCAGCTGTACAGCTTAAGTTACTTCTCCTCATGGGGAAAATAGGTAGTTTCTGCTCATAATTCTATAATGTCTATAGCCTTTCTTCATAGAGGTATCATGAAAAATAAAATATTTATAACTATTTTGGAGTATATGGTGTTCTTGCTTATGATCACAAATCTTAAATCTTATGTTGGTCCTTAGTCTTCCACAACTCACTTGACAAATATTTTTTAAATTTATATTTAGGATTACCTATTTTATATGTATAAGTGTTTTGCCTACATCTTTGTAGACCTTATCAGGTCGGGGAAGTTCTCTCGTCCAAAGTTGCTGAGTCTTTTTTTTTAAATTGGGAATGGATATTTTATTTTGAGAGATGACTTTTCTGCATTTCTTAAAGACAATACAGGTTTGTTTTTGTTTTAGTCTAATACTATGGATTGCATCTATATGTTTATTCTCTTATCTTTTTAAAATAGACTTACTTATTTTATCTTATGACTATGAGTGTTCTGCTTGTATGCATGTATCTGTACTATATAGATGTCTGTACCCTTGGAGTCAGATGAAGACATTGGAGCCCTGGGAACTAGAGTTATGGGCAGCTGTGAGCCACCATATAGATGCTAAGAGCTGAACTCAGATGCTCAGCAAGAACAAGTACTCTGAACTGCCGAGTTACTTTTCCAGCCTATAGTTTGCTCTTAGACCAACCTATATTCCTGTGGTGAGAAAATATTTTTTTCAAGTAGAGAAATTTATCAAGTTGGATTTGAATTTATTGCTCAGTCAGTGGTTGTAGTACAACTTAGTTGCTCATAAAAGACTGTTTTGAAGTTCTTACCTTTTAGAGTTCCTCATAATTTTAATGAAATGCTTTAAAATATATAATTTGAAATAAATTGTGAAGGTTAAAAACAATGTACTACATATAGTCTTTTTAATAACAAGAACATATTGGCAATGCCTATTTTTTTATGAAGGGGTAGGCATGTTGAAATAATACTTTGTTCATTGGGGACAGAAATTTTGTGATTCCACCTGTTTATGTAACTCTATTCCCCCCTCTTCTGTGAGAGCGTTGGCTGGGAAATCATATAAATCAAACTCCTAGAGCTGTCTCCTCAACGCAGATTGTGGGGCCAGTGCTTTGGAAGGTCATGGTATCCGCGTGACAGTTTGAACGGTAACATCAGGCATCAACTACAGCTCCCGAAGAGAAGTGCAGGAACTGTTTGCGATCAAAATGTAGCCGTGAACTGAAATCAGAACTTGGGCAGGAAATGACTGTTGCCACCAAAGGGCAATTACAAGATTCCCCCAGGCCTCAGAAAGCAAGGCGCAGCTGAGTATACTGAGCAGGTTGCCAAATAAAGAGAGCAGATAATTACCACTAATCGTGGGGAGACAGAGCCAGTCACCCATCAGTTTGTTTCATTAACCAGTGAACCGGCTTAAGCAGATTGGAACGAATTCAAACCTCCAGATGAGATGAAAGGATCAAGGAACAGCCTACAAAGTCATTAACGACACCTAAGCAAAGGTTGAGAATATTCACAATACGGTGCCTAATGGTGAAGGATTTGGGAATAAGGATACAAAGAGCGGGGGTTCTTACACTTCTCATGTACGTTCCATTCAGTTTGCTTTCTGAACGTCTACTGGTTTTTATCTGAGTTATTATAAAGTGGGTGGCTTAGTTAGGGCTACTATTACTGCGGTGAAACACCATGACCAAAGCAACTTTGGGAGAAGAGGGTTTATTTCACTGGCACTTCCAACTAACACTTCATCTTCAAAAGCAGTGAGGGCAGGAACTAAAACTGGGCAGGAACCTGGAGGCAGGAGCTGATACAGAAGCCATGGAGGGGTACTGCTTCCTGGCTTGCTTCTTAGGACTTGCTCAGCCTGTTGCCTTAGAGAATCCAGGACCACCAACCCAAGGATGGCACCACTCACAACAGCTGGGCCCTCCCTCATTGATCACCAAGAAGGTGCCTTATAGCTTGATTTTATGGAGGCATTTTCTGAATGGAGGCTCCCTACTCTCAGGTGGGTCTAGTTTGTGTGAAGTTGCCACAAAACTAGCCCTTGCAACTGGCCCCAATGTGAATGGGACACACAAACACATCACTTTTCAATTAGAACCTTTTCTTTCTTATTTATCCCCAAGATGGAATATATCCCATAATATAAAACATAAATAATTTTAAAAGTCTTTCTATCCTTACAAATTTAAACACATTAAATGCTCCTTCGTTAAAGTGTTCAGTGTAGGGGGGAGCAGGCCACTTGTTCGTCCCGGGTCACCCAGAACCAAAATAATCACACAAAAACTGTATTAATTAAAT